AGTTTTCTAAGAGCACGAGACGACGATATTCAGTGGGTCAGCCACCCACACCCATACCACACGGCGCCGCCCCGTGCGCAAAATCACCCACGCTCTGCGGTCCAGATTTATCCACTGCTGGTTTGGTGCGGGGGAGCAGGAGGAAGGGAGGGAGGAGAGTAGGGAGGAAGTAAAGCCAACTTTCCGAGATAAAGAAGCAATTGTCTCCAGGGTGAGCAGGTGAAGCCGAGAGCGGTTTTTGTAACAAAATACTTTATGATAAGACACTGAATATCGAAACTGGCCCGGAGTTGTGCTTGTGTTGAACCAGTGCTGCTGATGAGATGCACGCCCAGAAGGCCGGCCGTGTGACTAATGGGATGTGTAAAACACATACTTTTACAGATTTTTTTTCTTATGTGGAGGGACAGATCTGTGGAGTCAAATGACTTATTTACTGTTTAAGACAGTTGTTGAGCGCAGGCCCAAAGACCGAAAACGTCAAGCAGCCAGTAACAAACAGCACCATCAACGTTGTAAAGAAAAGATAGTGGTACACGTCTCTTGAATTGAGCAAGGCTATAATTATAACACGGGCCCGGGAGGAAGAGAGAGACGACGATGATGATGGTGGGAGAGGGAATTCCAAAGTGGATGAGTGCGAGGGAACAAGCAGAGAGAGAGAGAGAGGTGAAGTGACCTGCACAGACGCATGTCATTCCTAGAATGTTTCCATTTGAAGCGTTAACTTGTTTAAGAAGAGCCAGTCGATGTTTGGTAACAGACAAAGCCTTACAGAGGCGCAGCCCTGAAATTCTCCACTCACCCCCTGCTAGCGGGAGGGCGTCTACCTGCGGGAGAGCCGCGAGGGACTACATCGGAGCTCTCATCCATGCTGGGCCCGGTGTCTAGGAACTAATGGCAGTGCCCTCGCTTTACACCCGGCTGCCCTTTCAACTGCCGCGCCTGGAGAACGAAGCTGCGACGGCAGCACTGCAGGTTAAGTGTCCGGGGCATCGCACCACGACAGCTTTCCCCACTGCCGGGTAGAATTCAACATCAAGCAATCTGGGTGAATGGTGATCCAGCACTCACTGATTCGCTCCAGTCATTCGCTCACTCATCGGCGGTCAGTCACCTCCTCATTAATCTTCTATCGCTACTACTTCTGCTACCATAGCTACTGTTCCAGAGAACTTCACTCATATTTCATTCCTCCTCCCGTGTTGAGGACTCGGTCTATCAGATAAATACCAAGTTTTTTCACTATGTTGTCCAACCACCACACTGCAGGTCACAATAATTCACTCACTCACTCACCCATTAATTCACTCACTCACCTATTATTTCACTTACTAACTCACTCACCCACTCATTCACTCACTCACCACACTGAAACTCGCAACACTCTGCGCCTCGGGTAGGAACACTGAACCCTAAGAATGCTAATGATGCCAGCATCTGGCTCGCTGAGCCAAAGTAATCTAGATGTATTGGTTATACTAATATGTGACATGATGACTACTGTAGCCGATTAATATATTATGCAAAATAATGATGACTACCTTAGTCATTACCACCGACTTACACCATAAGTACACAACAGACTGTGTTGTGTACTTAGCTTTGTGTATGTATGTATGTTGAACTTCTTTCGCACCGTATGCAGCCAACTGTGCTAATCGGACGTTTGATGAAATGGCCCTTATTCAGTCAGTTCCATTTTTGTCACCAGCTTATAATACAAAACTCTGTCACTACCAATCTGTGTAGTAGTCCACACGATGTCTTAGTCACGGGGGGGATTGTTTGACCATACTTCATCGTGCTAGCCAGCGCAAGTTATTGAAGCGTGGAGGAGGCCAGGACCAGTTCCGATGTCGTTCGCCAATGATGTTAGCCGTGGGCAACTCAGGTCAATGGAGGAACGCTCTCCCAGACTCAATGGGAAACGCGGCGCCAGTCTCAGCTGATTCTGAAATCTCGAATGAAGACGCGCGCACCCCAAGTGCGCTGTTACAGCGAGAGCGCGCGACCCGGTGGAGAGTACCTCGACTTAACTGGTGTATTTATTTACGTGTTTGACTGCGTGCGATATTCACTGTGTCGATACAAGCTGCGTCAGTGAGAGATGAGACATGTTTGTAGACGCGTTTGTTAACTGTGTGGATGTGTGTCTATCCAGCGGTAGTGTAGCGGTTAGCGCGCTGCGCTACGCACCCAGCAACCCGAGTTCGATTCCCGCTCACGGCCAACACCGGTGACAATTATCTGAACCGATCCTGGGCCTCCCCTAGGTCGACTCAGCCTCAAATGAGTACCTGGTGCATGTGTAAACATCGCCACTGGGAAGACAAAAGCGGCCGGGCGTGGTGCTGGCCACCCACCTCCTTGTGTGCCGTGCCGGCCTTCATAGGTGCTCACTAACAGCACTTGTCCCAACAGTCTGTTAAGGCTATATGGAGGATCTTTGTCTGACAGAAATACCGAGACACAAACAGAGACCAGACACAAAGACGTGGAGATACACTTAGATACAAGACCGATATAGAGACGAGACACAACGACATGGAAGATACACCTAGATACGAGAGAGACCGACACAGAGAGATGGAGAGACACACGCAGACACAAGAGAGACACAAGATAGAGAATGCTGTGGCTCCCCTAAACCTGTCTGGCAGAATGAAGGAATCGATGACGGTGGCGGCACAGGGTGGCACGTGGAGGCCAGCGAGACGCGTTATATAAGCGTGTGTATTTACATCGAGAGGGAGAGTGGGTGGTGTTCGAAGGAGATTGATGCGCATATTTGGATCGCGCTGTGCGCTCTATCTCCCTCGCCCATGTTTTTTCCTCCTCTCCCGTCTCCCTCCCTCTCCAATGTCCCTCCCTCTCCCGATCTCTCTCAATATCCCAGCCCTGTCGCCCAGACACCTGTTGCTTTCATTCTGCGCGCACCTCCAAACCACGCGGACCTCCTCCGCACCACAGCCACAAACAAACCCTCAACACGCGCATCAATTACACCGTGGCCTTAGTGAATACAAATATTAAATATGCGACGTTTCGGGCATTGGCCCTTCTTCATAGCACATAGAGACACGAAACCCCAAGGAGAGCCTCACTGAGTCTCAAGTCGTGTTCGCATGAGGGTCCTGCTGTCACACGAAGATATATGGCCACGACTTCCATAAACGTGTGGCTTCAAGTGCGCAAAGAAGCGAGGAGAGACGCACGCTTGGGATGACACACGCGGAGTCGAGCAGACGGACCAATGAGAGACTTCACCTTGATGACAATGGACACGGCATGGCTCGACTGGACGATATCCGATGGGCGATAGTCGTGATGGCATGGTAACCAAAGGGGTGGGAAACTCCTTCCAAGAGATGGATCAATGAATTCGGCTCGTGCGACAAGAGTTATATGGATTGTGTAATCCCAGGACTGTGAAGGGGTGATGACAGCATGGGGACGTTTTCATCCAGCAGTGGATAGGTCATAGCTTATGATGATGACGATGACTTAATGTGTAGGTGGAAACCGGAGAGTCGGTCATGGGGTTAGTTTAACCACGCTTCTCACCATGGTCAATGCGGGTTGGCTTGGTGACGGTCGAGGGGAGGGAGATTGATAAGAGCAGCTCACACATCAATCGCCACTGATGTCAGCCGCGGCCGGAATACCCAGAAAAAACTCACCGCGCTCTACGAGGGTTCATACTCAAAGCTCTGCACAGATTGATTCAAAAGTACATTTACGTACTGCCATTTCATGGTCACCAAGCCTACAACACCTGTTATTCAAATGCAATTTCTCCATACAAGTACTAACCAGGCCCAAAATTCCTGCTTATCTTGTGAGATCCGGTGTGTGTTTGAGTTATGGTGTGTGTGTCTCTGCCACGTGCCTATGTATTCACACAAACACTCACAAACACTCACACACGCACACACAGAGACAAAGATCCCCCGTGTAGCATTAACAGACTGTTGTGAGGGGCAAGTGCTGTTCGAGAGCACCGATGAAGTCCGACACGGCACATGAGGGGGTGGGTGGGCAGCACCACGCCCGGACGCCTTTGTCTCCAAAGACACAAAGACACACGCGCACACACTCACACTCCGTGGCACGCACCGATGTGGAACGTGGCAAAAAATGATTGGTGGACAACACAAACACACACCCCATTCGTATTCACTGACACACAAGGACAAATTCAAAGATCCCACGTATAGCCTTAAACAGACTGTAGGGGCAAGCGCTGTTAGCGAGCAGCACCTATGAAGGCCAGAACGGCACACGAGAGGGGGGGGGGGGCGACACTAAGTCCGGTCGCCTTCTAGGCTGAGTCGACCTAGGAGAGGCCCAGGACCGGATAAGATAATTGTCACCGCTGCTGACCGTGAGCAGGAATCGAACTCGGGTTGCCGGAGTCGTAGCGCAGCGCGCTGACCGCTACACTACCGCTCCCCACTACAATTGTAAACAAACCCCACTGACTGACACTGCTTGATGTCCACTGACGTTCGGCTGCATATAAATGAGGGTTGGTAGATCACGCAGAGAATTTTCAAAACTCCCCATTTCGCTGTCCTGCGAATTGGTAGTCCGGGAGATAGATATCAGTAGATAAAGCGGGTTCGTGAACCCGTCTGTACGGACCTCTGAGTGCGTGTGTTAGAACGTAACCCCTGATATACAGCGCGGTGAGCATTCTCCTGGTATCCTCTTTCACGACGCCAAACAACTGTGAACAACAATAACAGCAGCTGCTATAAATAAGTCAGGCAACCATCGCAATGGGGCAGGACCCTCCCGAAAAAGAACCTTGAGACCTTGAGTCTTTCCTGCATACACACATCGAATTGTTATATCATTGATCACCGTCACCGTGTATCACGGACTGCCGGCGGACGGCACGCGTGTGATGTCGCACGAGCTGATGCTGCGCTTATGCCCTATGCAGAGTACAGTGCCATCGTGAAGGTCACAACCGCACACTCGCCGGACCTTACCGCCCTTTCTTGATGCCGGTCAAGCCAGCCGCTGTCCCACCGGCCAGCCTACTGGTTGAGTGGCCAGCCAGCCAGTTGACCGGTCACTTGTCCAGGATAAGTTGGTTATCTCCAGCAGCAGCAGCAGCAGTAGCCAGTGCGAACTTCCTGTGATGAACAATTATCGTGTCCCCTTGGCTGAGATGTCGTGGGTGCGCGATTCGCTTTCTGAACAGAAGAGTTCAGCCACGTTGTGATGTCGTATGTGTGTGGAGGGTGAGTGTGTGGAGAGTGAGTGGCTGATAGAGAGTGCGAGTGAGCCGCAGAGCACCATAAACACGCGCACACGTGACGTTGCGGATGACGGAGCAGGGAGGGCGCGTGTGTGCGCGCGCGCGTGTGTGCAGGGGCAAGGGCATGCGTGTGTGTGCGAGTGTGTGTGTGCCGGGGGGCTACACGCAGGGTAGACGGGAAGAGAACGAGCGGAGGAGGAGGATGGGAGGCGGGTGGGGGGCTAGGCGAGTGGGCGTGATTGGGGTGTGGAGAGGGGGTCCACCAATGCCCCGTGCGTGGTGCGAGCAGCCAGTGCAGGGCCCTGCACACGCGGCAGGAACGCTCGAAGTCTTCTTGCTGTGCTCTCAAGGTGGGGGGGGGACAAGCGAGCCCCCCAATGGCCCCTTCCCTCGCCCCTCGAGACCCCGAAAAGTGTTGGTGTTTTATTGACATTTACTGGAGGAAATACATTGTGTATTTAATGTTGGGGGGTGTTTAAAGAGCTTGACAGACACAACGGGGCCACCACTGGCACCCCCTTGTGGGAGGTGCCGAGATTCGCCTCTTTGTGTCACCGCGCCGTGCGCGGCTGCCGCCTTCGAGATGAGCGAGCGGCCGCGTGACGGACGCGGGGCAGCCAGGGGGTGCCTTGGCCCCCTGGTGGGCAAAGAAGCTCCGAGTTGGGGCCCCCTTGACAACCACCATGAGATATGTTTTCAAAAACAGTGCAAAGACGGAGCGCCCCTACAGTGTTACATATCTGAGACCGTGGGCGTAATGATGTAAATAGGCCAGAGGTTCCGCGACATAGAATAGCCTCGGTGCGACCGTGCGAGACAATCAAATAGTGGGGCCCCACCTTACCTACTACTACGCCACTGATAATGGAGTTACTACGCCACTGATAATGGAATCACTGCGCCACTGATAATGTAATCACTGCCCCACTGATAATGGAAGCACTTTCCCCACTGATAATGGAGTTAATATACCACTGATAATGGATTCACTACGCCACTGATAATGGAATCACTGCCCCACTGATAATGTAATCACTGCCCCACTGATAATGGAATCACTTTCCCCACTGATAATGGAGTTAATATACCACTGATAATGGATTCACTACGCCACTGATAATGGAGTTACTACACCACTGATAATGGATTCATTACGCCACTGATAATGGAGTTACTACACCACTGATAATGGAATCACTACGCCACTGGTAATGGGGTTACTACGCCACTGATTATGGAGTTACTACACCACTGATAATGGAATCACTACGCCACTGATAATGGAGTTACTACGCCACTGATAATGTAGTTACTACGCCACTGATAATGGAGTTACTACGCCACTGATAATGGAGTTACTACGCCACTGATAATGGAGTTACTACGCCACTGATAATGGAGTCACTACGCCACTGTTATCCTGCTTTATATTCTAGTCGTGTTCCCGTGTGTCTGTTTAACTGGTTGTTTCCGCCCTGTAATGTGGGAGTGATGTTCGCTGTGGTCGTGATGTTCTACTCGCGCGCACGACCGTAGCAGCAGCAGCAGCAGCAGCGACGCGGTTCATGATCGAGGCCAATGCGGAGGTCCCGAGCGAGAGGGCTTCAGCAGAGAGAGAGTCCGTGTCGTTCCTCCTCCTCCGCTGAAGGAGCACAGGCCTCAATAGTTCACTGCGCGGGCCATAGTGAGGGTTGTATGGACACAGACACACGACTCTCGGCTTGTCTTTAATGTATCTCTGTGTGTCTGCCTATCTCTCTGGATATCTGTGGGTTTGCTGTGTGGTCCGTTGTTTGGGTTGCATGGCAGCCCCAGCCGCACTGTGCACCAAGAGGAGTCGATGGTGTTTGTCATTCTTAGGGCTGGACTTGAGCCAAATTAAATGCAGAAGCTGCCTGCGCAATCATCGCCAACGACACGAGTAAGCGGTTCCTCCATGCGAGTGTGGACATCAGTGGGTTAATAAGAATGGGTTAATAATGTGTATATATTTAACATGTAGGCTTTCGCGACCAATATCATCCACTATAAGCCTGCTAACAGTGGATGCCAATTGGCACGTTCTGTTTACGTGACAAACCTTACTAATTGGCTGTGTCGGGTGGTGGCCGGTTTAACGGCACATTTATATTTACGCAATCTAACCCAAAACACCTCTATTGTGAATGTGTATATATAAAATTAATTATGTTAATGTCGCATAAATTACGCGAGAGGAAAGCAACATGGAAAAATGATCCCAACGCGACTCAACGTACGAGCCGAATGAGCGTCGATTCACGCGTCGCGCCATTCCCTCAACTCGGGTCGCCAGCGGGGAGGATGAAGTCTGTGGACAGGAGCGCACTGAGCAATGACCCGAACCACCACCCCCTCCCTTGCCTCCACCCCACATCCCCTCCAGTAGTACGTTCATTATCATCATCCATGATCTATCCGCTGCTGGAAGAAGGCCTCCCCAAGCCATCTCCATTCTTCATGGTCCCGCACGAGCTCATTGTATTGCTCCATCTCCGCGATGCGCGTGCTCTCATGAATGCGTTCCCTCCTTTGGCTGACATTCTGTGGTTAGTCTCGACCGGTGACCATCCTCCCTTCTCGCCCAACCCTCAATGTCTTCGCAGTGAACGCGGTGTCTCGAACCTGCTGCGTGTGCTCTCGAATCCGCGTGTTCCTATTCCTACCTCTCACTGTAATTATAGCCACGCCATCTCCCCGTGTTTTTAATCGATAGATGAGACTTGTAATTTAATTATTTTTTTATCTGTTATAAAAAATAGTTTTGCTCCGACGAAGTTGAACATTGTCACTTTGAGACTGTGTCACTGCCTGTGTGCTCAAGACGCACATTGCATAACCACCGACTTCCCGCTGAAGCCCCGGCACTCGGCATCTGCCCAACTGGAAGTCGCTCACTCTCCTCTGCTGCCCCCACAGTATAGAACTGCCCTCTCATCCCCCGGCCATTCTTGCTGTGGACTCCCTGTCAAGTTCAAGTCCAAGTTCAAGACCTCCCAGTCTCCTCTTCCAATGCCGTACTGCCTGTCTCTCATCGACTCACACGGAGATCTACAGACTCACACAGAGACCCACAGACTCACTTACATGGATATCTATGACTGAGAGCCTCTATGAGATAAATATGCCCATTCACTGTCTGTGCAGCGTCACATTCAGACTCGGCTGCGTACATCCACGAGTGTTTGTGTCGCAGCGCCACCGTCTGTTACACTTTATTGCTGCAGTTGTCAAAGACCAACATCCCCCGTGTAGCCTTAACATGCTGTTGGGGCAATTGAACCTTATGGCGGGACCCCGGGGTCCCATTAGCCCCCGGCTCTCGCATAAACTGCGTTGCGACGTCATTTTATGTCTGTTGAAGGCGAACGACACGGTGATGTGTTCCTCTCGACGTGCTCTACATGAGGCGCTAATCAAAGTTTCAAAGTTTTGTTTATTGGCTTCGGAATTCGTCCTCGCTGTTGCGCTTGGACGACACGACAACAGAACGATCCGCGCCAGGTGGGTAGCGGTGTTCATGTGCGCAGTGGTACGGAGTCGCCAAAACACAAACATCAATTACGAGTTTAAAGTTTCATTTATTTATTTATAATTTATTAGGTATCGCCCTGTGAGCCATGCGGCTCTTAAGTCGGGTGCAACTGCAACAAACAAAATATGAATACAGAACATCCCAAAGCAACGACGTGCAGCAGAAACATCCTGGAATTCAACCAGCAAATATTTTTGCTGTATGCGACCGCCGATGAAGGCCGAAACGGCACGGGAAGGGGTGGGTGGACAGCACCACGCTCTGCCGGTGATGTGTCCACATCGCACCAGGTACTTATTTTAGTCTGTGTCGACCTAGGGGACACCTAGGACCGGTTCATATATCTCTGCTGATGGCAGTGAGCGGGAATCGAACCTGGGTGACCGGGTTCGTCGTGCGGTGTGCTAACCACTGCGCCACCGCTCTCCGCAGGCGCAGGTTGGCCACACGGCGGCGCTGTGAGCATCACGCAAAGCCAGAGCTGAAAACACAAACATGGACAAATACAAAACTAAACAATCACCCGCGCCGTTGTGACGTCAACATGAAGCAGCAACGCGTGTCCTTCCCATATCAGTCTGTCCACATACACAACACATTCTGTTCTGTTTCTCATCAACCGCACGCGCCACGGACCCGTTCGGGAGTGCTTCAATGTCGGCAGCATTGGCTCAACACTTTCGGCCGGTTTCGACATTCAGTGTCTCATCAGCAGAGTCAGGCTCGCCTGCACCAACGCTGCTGAACTGCCAGATATGTATAGCAACATGGAAGCTCTCCGTTCAATATGGGTCCTGACTGGACGCAAAACTCTATCGTAATAGACAGCGCAGACTGATCGCTGGGGTCCTTGTTGAGAGCACGGGTCACAAGCCATCACGAGAGGGTGGGGGCTGTGTCAGCGGGACGCCGCGAGTGGCGCGCCGGGAGGTCGGACCCCACGTTGGCCGGGGGTGGTCTCCAGGACCCCCCCCCCTCCAAAAGAAGCTCTGCAGGGGTCCGGTCCCCTGATTAGGACGACGCGGACTGGGCGCCGCGTGCATACGTGTGTGTGTAGCTCAGAGTGTGTGTGTGTGTAGGTCAGTGTGTGTGTGTAGCTCAGAGTGTGTGTGTAGGTCAGTGTGTGTGTGTAGGTCAGTGTGTGTGTGTAGGTCAGTGTGTGTGTGTGTAGGTCAGTGTGTGTGTGTGTAGGTCAGTGTGTGTGTGTAGGTCAGTCTGTGTGTGTGTAGGTCAGTGTGTGTGTGTGTAGGTCAGAGTGTGTGTGTAGGTCAGAGTGTGTGTGTAGGTCTGTGTGTGTGTGTGTAGGTCAGAGTGTGTGTGTGTGTGTGTGTAGGTCAGAGTGTGTGTGTGTGTAGGTCAGTGTGTGTGTGTAGCTCAGAGTGTGTGTGTAGGTCAGTGTGTGTGTGTAGGTCAGTGTGTGTGTGTAGGTCAGTGTGTGTGTGTGTAGGTCAGTGTGTGTGTGTGTAGGTCAGTGTGTGTGTGTAGGTCAGTGTGTGTGTGTGTAGGTCAGTGTGTGTGTGTGTAGGTCAGAGTGTGTGTGTAGGTCAGTGTGTGTGTGTAGCTCAGAGTCTGTGTGTAGGTCAGTGTGTGTGTGT